GTACCATTGATTAATTTATTGATGCCAGAATATTTTGAGATTACAATTGATTAATTATCTTGAATTTTTTGGCAGTCATCAGAACTGGTAACCCATTGCTGTTCTTGGGCTCTATTCAATTTGCGATCTTAGTCCTTTATTAGAAGATATTAGGTTTCAATTCTTTTCATTCTTAGGATATTAAGTTACTGATTTTATTAGATTCCATTTAATATTATTTTAGCTTAAGTCTCCCTCCATTTCACGTCATTGCAGATTGGAGACCAAGGTAGAAAACTTCCAATTTAGTTTTACCAAGGTAATGACCAGGATTTCCCACATGATTAAGAAAATTGCTTATTTCCTGCATATTTTTTATTGTGACATGTCACCTCAGTGAATCTCCAGCTATAATAAGGCAAGGTAATGACATTTAGTTGGTTAATACGAATTTCTCTCTTCAGATCAGAAATTTATGCAAAGCATTTGAGTTCTGACAAAAGCATGACATAAATGAGAAATAATAATAAAATTCATTGTGTGTCACTTGATATTCAGCCAAGTGATACACAGCCAAATGAATTATATCCCACTAAGAACTTTATGTATGGATGACACATAAAATTTGAACACATTATGTTGTATCTCACTTGATGCTCAGCCAAATGTCATGAAACTTTGTAGGAAGATAGATATGGAAAAGTGAACATCTATAACTTTGGACTCTTTAATATGCTAGACATGTGGATATTGGCAATTTGGCTTGTTTCAAATCCAAATCTAAAAACTCCATGAGAGTCTCAGATAAATTTTGAACCCTACCAAACTCGATCACAGCTGCAGTAGTGAGCTGGGCATGTGTGATCCAAGTGGTTGTAGACATTTATCAATAGTCATGCGTTCAAAACAAAAAATACCCCAGGAAATCATTCTCAAACCCTACAAAATTGTGGCCTTTGTGGGACTATTGGACATAGTTATTGAAATCTCTCACCCAAGGTCACGATTCTGATTCGTCGACTCCCTACAAAGAATCTTCATAGAATATGTTTATGTGAAGTCAGGAATCTCGATACCAACACTTATAAAATCTTGTTTCTAACATTTATGGATTCTCGATTCCTTAATGTTGAATTTTCCACATGAGACTTTTTTTTTCGAATCCACATTCTTGAACTTCAAGTACCACGGATCATAGATGCAAGAAAACACAAATTAATAATCTTACTTCCATCCTCATAGAATCTTGATTTGATTTTTTTTGGAATCGTAATACCACAAAATCAAATACTAATATTCTAGGTGCACAAATTTGTGACTTATGGATTGTTTTAAATATTTATAAATTTCGATTTGAGGTACTTGGAAACTTGTTTGGAGGTGATTGTCTCCCATAATTCTTATGTGCTCCGAATAATAATCTGATGAGCATATTGTCGAAGTATTGGTTCCATAAATGAACTTTCAAATGCGAATATCTAGAGTAAGTTCTTAACAAGTGTTATTCCAATGTATTTTGCAGGTAACAAATGCAAGTATAACTTCTTTTGTACCGCATCATCATTTTAGCCTTTTCCCAATTAATTGGGGTCGGCAATATGAATCCTGGTTCTCCATGCTGCTCTATTAATGGCCATATCCTCATTGAGGCCATAAGTTCTTATATCTTTTCAGACTACTTGTAACCATGTCCTTTTTTGCCTACTTCTTGCTTTCTTCAGTCGTTTCACTTGAACTGACTCGCACCTCCTAACTGGTGTTGTACTTGGTCGGCACCACACATGACTAGCCCACCTAAGTCTACTCGCTCTCATTTTATCGCCTATTGGTGCCACGCCTAAATTCTCTCGAATAGCTTCATTTTGAATTCTATCTCTTCTTGTCTTGCCACTCATCCATCTCAACATCCTCATCTCCGCTACACTAATTTTATGAGTATATTGTTTTTTGTCTGCCAAACATTCCGGCCCATAGAGCACAACTGGTCTCACCGTTGTCCTATAGAACTTGCCCTTCAGCCTCATTGGTATGCATCGATCACATAAAATTGTAGTTGTACATCTCCACTTCGCCCACCCAGCTCTAATTCTGTGTGCGACATCTTCCTCTATCTCTCCATTTTTTAAGATTATTGACCTAAGATATTGGAAGTACGGTCTTTTTTGTACTTTTTGATCGTCAAATCTTAACTGCTTCCTCGTCTCTACTCCTATTATTATTAAACTTGCGCTCCATATACTCTGTCTTAGTTTGACTAATTTTAAAACCTTTGGATTTTAGAGCATCCTTCCAAAGTTGTAACTATGTGTTGATGCTGTTTCGGGTCTCGTCAATCAAAACAATGTCATCTGCGAACAACATGCACCACGATACCTCATCCTGTAGGTGCCTAGTGAAGTCGTCCATAACAAAGACAAAGAGGTATGGGCTCAATGCTGACCCTTGATGTAGATCTATTGTCACTGAAAACTCAATCATCTGTCAACTATTTGTTTGTACACTAGTTAGCACTCCATCATACATATCTCTCACCAAGTCGATGTAGTGTCTAGAGACGCCTTTCTTTCCAACACCCGCCAAATCAAATCTCGAGTTACTCTATCGTAAGCTTTGTCTAGATCAATAAAGACCATGTGGAGGTCCTTTTCCCTTCGCCCTAAACTTCTCAATCAGTTGCTTAAGTTGGAAAATGGCCTCCGTTGTTGACTTTCCTGGCATAAACCAAATTGGTTTCCAGATACACTCGTTTCATGCCTTTGTCGTTGCTTAGTGACTCTCTCCTAGAGCTTCATAGTATGGCTCATAAGTTTGATTCCTCGATAGTTTGCACAATTTTGTACGTCTCCTTTGTTCTTGTAAAGAGGTACCACAATACTTTTCCTCCATTCATCTGGCATTTTCTTTGTTCTCGGCACCTTATTGAATAATTTCGTCAGCCATTCAATGCCAATTTTCCCCATGCACTTCCAAATCTCTATCGAGATACCATCTGGTCCTAAAGCCTTTCCTATCTTCATCATTTTCAAAACGTCGTTCACTTCCGGCTTCCTTATCCTATGAATGTATCTATGACCTCCGTCGTCACATGTACCAACAGTCCCTTCTACCATTATGTTCACAATCATTATGTTTCTATTGTGTTTGTCATCTAATAATTTTTAAACATAGACTCTCCACCTTTCATTGATCTCGTCATCCTTCACCAAGATCCTTTGATCCTTACTCTTAATGCATTTAATATGGTTTAGATCCCTTACACTTTTTCTCTCTTATTTTTGCTAATTTGAAGATATATTTTGCACCTTCTCCTGTTCCCAAATTACTGTATAGATCATCATATGCCTTAAATTTAGCTTTATTTACAATTTATTTAGCATTTTTCTTAGTATTTTTATATTCTTCTAAATTTTGATCGTTTCTTTTGTAGGTAACCAAGGCAAATATAACTTGGGCATTGGAGCATTAAAATTAAGAGAACTTGTTGCATGTTGAAAATTGAATACTCCAATTCTTCACTCTTGGTATCAAAGGCACATACTGCAACACAAACAACACCATGGCGTAAACAAATTCCAATATGAACTATAGTAATGAAATCAAAATCACATTTCAAAATACATGAGATAATATTTGTATCTTTTGTAGAAAATTTCCCTAAGTGGACTAAAAGTGTCTATCAATTGACCTTATTTCTAATACTGTGTCTAAGGCTCAATAGTCTAAAGAACCTTTTTGCAGGTCTTAGAGACTTCTGATCTCAATTGCTTGATGAGGTTGTAAGTTGTTAAGGTGCGAGACGTTGTTGATGTAGGAATCTTGATTCTAAGGTCATTGAAATTCGAGCCCATAGAGTTCTGAATCTCGATTGCCAGGTGGGTGGAAACCCAATTCCAAGCTGATATGAATCTCTATTCCAAGTACGTTAGAAACTCGATTCAAAGATGTTAGAATCTCGATTCCATGTTTGAAGGAATCTCAATTCCATATGGGTCGATTCTAAATAGGTCAGAAACTCGATTCCAAAAAGATCGGGATCTCGATTTCATATATTTAAGGATATCGATTCCATTTGGGTTGAATCTGGATTCCTATATAGAAAGAATCTCGTTTCTCGCAATTCCCTTGTACGGATGTTGATTCAAAAACAGGAATCTTCTAGCCAGCATTGATTATGTGATTCTAATTCTTAAAACGATTTGAAATCTCATACCTTTCCAACAAATATGCTACTAGATCAGCAGTAAATGTCCCTTGGGGAATTGAATTTGAGGCCAGGATGAAAAGGCCTAACATTATCATGTCTCTCAATATGGAACTATAATTCTTAGAGAACTCGAGTACTGAATTGCAGAAATACCTTGCAAATAGCCTTTCCATGGGGAAAACAACTTTTCAAGCTCTGAACTCAAGATTTTTTTTCTTCCTCTAGTGTTACTACAAAAGTTCAAGAAGTATTGGTTTACAAATTATTGAAACTTTACCTTCCATATGAATTGTTTAAAGATTATCATTGAAGTGTCACCTTTCAGACAGAAACTGTAACTCAAATAGGAGTTGCTCCTGGAAATTAGAAAATCTCAAAACTTAGACTATTTTATTACTATCTGACTTGATATGCTGATAGTTCTCATTATCTCTTGGGTACAATTTGTATTCTTGACGTCATTTACTCTTTTTATAGCTATATCATGGTAGCAAAGTTTTTTATTGGTGGGTGGATTCAGTACATGTCAAAGAGATGTGTTGTAGCATTCTATTTCACTTTTTCGTATATTTGTTTTTGCCATTCATATACTTTGTGTAATAATTTTACTGAGGTCGTTTTATGTTTTAATTTGATGGTACACTAGTTCAAATGATGTGTTCATGCTTCCTGTTTAGAAATTTTATTCTGATGTCATAGTCCAGTTTGCATTTCCATTCATATACTTTCTAGTTGGAGCAGTTCCTTGTTCTCTGTATGTTCTTTATGAGTTTCTAATTCAAAATACAAGAATGTGATTTATTTTTGATGGCATCAGTGAGTTCTTAATTGATCTTATGGCGGCTCCGGGGACATTGATTCCCACAGAAATTCCTGGTACACATTGTCAACAATACCAACTTGATGATGGGCGCATTAATGCCATTGGAATGATTGCTGAGGAATTACATTCCCTTGATACTCATGTTGACCTTGACAATGGGAGTAAAAATGAGAGGTCTCATGCAGATACAGTTGATAAAATATTTGATTCAAGGGTTAATAGTTCTAATTGTCTGGAACCAGAAAGCTTTGGATCTCGGAGGAATGATATAAATCTTACTGATAAAAATAAGAAAGAGAGATTTGAGCGTGAATTTGGAATGCTTCTTCCTTCATTGCGTAAGCTGGGTGGAGGTCCATCAGCTAATAGTGGGGCAATCTCATTCGCTCAGAAGATGAAGGTCAAGGATGTCTCGAAATATGTCATCAGTGCGGCACAACACCCAGAATTTGCTCATAAATTGCATGCAGTTTTGCTGGAGAGTGGTGCACAACCTCCTCCGGATATTTTTTCTGATATAAAGCCTTTCCAGAAATTTCGAGAGCTGAGTCCTTGCAAACAAGTGGACTTTGCTAAAGATATTGGAAGGAAAGATCCAGGTCAGGACAAACATCATCTACCTGTTGGTTCTAATATAGGGACATCAGCCACTAATTCTTCTTCATTGCCGGTTCCAAGCCCAAAAAGTGCTAAGCTTTGTGATCCAGTCATTGCAACTGAGAATGCTACAAATGAATATGTCCTGAATGATGCGGCGGCTAAACAGAATGCCACATCTCTTGATTCGTCTCATTTGTCGTCAACAAATTTGTATGGTGGTGAGCTTCGTGGACCTTCTTTAGATTTGGGTAAACGTTTGGTGCCGCATGTTGCTAAATCATCTCAGCAGCATTCTGAAATGGCTATATTTGGAGCCAATACAAACTGCTATAAAGAAGTCCAAGTTGTGAGAGGAAAAGAAAAAATTGAAGAAATTTTAGGTATAGACACTGACTATGGTAAAGAAGTTGCCAAGGAGCCTTTGGGTAATAAGGAAGAAACTCTAAACAGTAAAGCACTGCTTACCAGTAATTATAATGAAATTATGAACCCAATGCTGGATGGTGTTGCAGAATGGGAAATACGCTGGGAAGATCTTCAGATTGGAGAACGGATTGGCCTTGGTAAGCATTATAATTCCATTATGGTTGCTGATTAAACTTTAAATTTGCTGATAGAGGCATGGTTTCTTGTCTTTAGTAGTACAGACTTCAGTTCCGTTAGGACCTGAAGAACTGTAACCTCTTTCAATGTTTCTAAGTTCACTTGATTTGTGCATAACTATAACACTATATTTTACTGGTCAAGCACATAAATATCCATTAATTGAGCATCTCGATATCCATTAATTGAACATCTCAATATTTGTGCGTAACTATAACACTATATTTTACTGGTCAAGCATCTAAATATCCATTAATTGGATGTTTACCAAACAAATGAGAGATGGATATCCATTGTCATAGGTGAAGTATATTTTTACTTCCCCATTGTCATAAGTGAAGTATATTCTTTTTTATTTTTGGCCTTTTTACTTCCCTAATGCGGTGTAGTTCTATTTTCTACATCATAAGGCTTGACCACTCTGAGGCACGTATTGGTTGTTCGTCATTGGAAAGAGATCATATCTGTAGACTCAGGTAGTCAATGGCATCCATTCACTATTTATAGACTCTGAATATAGATGGCACGATATATTGTACAACCTAGAAAAATTCTAAGATCATACCTTGTGGATAACTGTAGGAGCATACTTAGTGGATAAATACAGTGCAGCACCAGATTTTTCTTTTGTTAGTAAAACTGCACGACAGATGAAGCCAATATATGTATCAAAATCAATAATTTGTGAAAACATACAATTTGTTGGAGTAGAATATTTGTTCATGTAATTACTATTGTATTTATAGGTTTTGGGTGTAAGTGTTTTTGAAAAGTGCTACATGTTTATTTATGGTGTAATTTAGTAAAGTAATGGTTAACGTTATGAAATAAGAATTGTTGGAGTAGAATATTTGTTCACGTAATTACTATTGTATTTATAGGTTTTGGGTGTAAGTTTTTTTGAAAAGTGCTACATGTTTATTTATATGTTATTTAGTAAAGTAATGGTTAACATTATGTCATTTTCTTATTTCTTTTTCTTTTAAGAGTCGATGTAGAAGTTTTATAGAAAAAAGGACTTAGGGAAAGGAGTGAAATGGGTAAGCTATGGTGCCCCGGCATGGACCTATGAGATTTGGCAGTAGACTAGAAGGTTAGAAGCAATTTAATGCTTTTGCTGCAGGTGTAAAGCTAGATGTTTATGAAAGGCAGGTTATTGCTGCTGTTCCTAGTGATGTCTGCATGCACCATATTTATTCGATGTGTTTTTTTCCATAAGGACTTTCAGCACATTATCTGCTTTCGTTTTTATCTTGGAAAGGATGAAATTTATTGGGAAAATTACATATATATCCATTTTTTTTTAATGATATTGCAATTTCACCTAAAGTTTTCCATTGTTATCACTCTACCATTTTACATCCATTATTACAACATTTTGTTCAGCATTAAAAAGAATGACTAAATTGCCCTTTCTCGATTTTCAGGATCCGAAATTTATATTTTCGTGAACTAACTGAAATTAAATTTTTCGGATTCCCAATATCTGAAAATTTTATATTTTTGGATTTTCAAAATGTGTTTTAAATTTTTGGATGTCCAACATCCGAAAAGTTTTATTTCAGAGTCCCCCAAAATTTCTGGATTTTGAAAATCCAAAATATGTATGAAAATTGCAATTTTCTTTGGATTTTCAAAATCCTAAAATTGCACACTCCAAAAATTGCATTTTTTCGGATTTTCCGAAGCTTTCATTCGTAGTGTCCCAACATTTTCGGATTTCGAAAACCTGAAATTTACTTTAAATTTACATTTCTGGATTTTCAAAATCCAAAAATTGCAAATGCAAAAATTTTGAGGAAAACATAGAAAAGAGAGCCCTGGTGACTTTCCAAGATCCAAAAGTTCACAATTTCAGATCTTGAATGTGCAAATTTTATTTATTTATTTATTTTGGATTCTGAAGATCTGAAAATAGGGCAATTTTTTAAAAAAATTCTGGGCTCTTGAGAACGAGTATAAATGTAATATTTGAAATTTTGAATGCAATAAGTGAATATCTTAGGTGATATTGTAATAATGCTAAAAATAATGGATATATGCGCAATTTTCTCAAATTTATTTTTCGAATTTTCCCATCTAATTGCTAAGGCTGAACAATGCCTCTACTTTGTATTGGCACATTTTTGAAAATGATGTCCAAAGTTTCACACATCAATGTAGTACTGTGATGGTAATGGGTGTTGCAGATTTTGGGATATTCAAGTCATGCATTTCTCCATTTGAGGACATATTTAGTGGTAAAATTTGTACTGCTGAATGATAATTTGGGACCCACAACACGGTGGCCATCGTGCATTAGTTTTGTGCTTTTCCCGGTAAATTTTGTCCATGTTTTGGATTTGTCATGTGGCTGTACTGGAGCCATCCATCTGTATAAAATGGCTCGTGATCATGCCATTGTAGCTTGAACTTCATTGACTACTTAAGTGGTTTTGTAGATTATTGTTTGCAAATTTTTGTAAGACCTATGATTTCATTGTATAGGCTCTTGGTGCACAAAAGTCTTTTGATGGATTAATTGTTTAGAGGTTTTCTTTCTAGTAGTGGCGTTCGGCAGTCTTCTATTGTTACTCCTGGGGTAGTCCATAGACCGTTCATATTCCAAAATACATATGCCTGATCCTAAATGTCATTACTATGCAAATGTAGTCCACACTCATTGATATAAGATATGGATGGGTCTCTTATCACGTTTCCTCAGGTTCATATTGCAACCCTTTGCCGACTGTTGATCATTCTCTGATTGTTATGACTTCACTGAATGTTACTTAAAGGAAACACTTCATTTGTCACTAGAAGGGAAAACTTAAGTACCTAGCTTCTTTGACAGTTTGACTACTATCTTGTTTCTTCCTATTATATCAAAGCGCTCATTTAAGACCTAATGATCCATACTGAGTTTGGACAGAAGCATATTTAGTGAATACTGTTCCTAATACTTAACAACCATGTGTGTGTGTGTGTGTGTGCTCGCGCGAGCATGCATGCACACTGTGTTGTCTATATATATGTATGTACATGTGTATGTGTATGTGTATGGTTGTTATCAATGTATGTGCCTTTGTGTTTGTGTCATATGCCTTGCATATGATTGAATTATACCACATAACCTTTTCTCCTTCTCCTATTCGGTGAGTTTTTAACACACTATTTTAGTAACTGCACTCATCCATACAATTGGGACCGAGGACCTCTAAGTGCTTTCGTAGATGTACAGTTTGAAGTTTACGGATGGGGGAAGTTACTAAAAAACGAGGACCCCCATGTTTTAAATATTTTTGAACTCTTCAAATCCTGTACTTTTTTGCTCGATAATCATCATCATTATCATCAGAGCCTTTTCCCAACTATTTGGGGTCGGCTACATGAATCTTAGTCCGCCATTCTGCTCTATCAAGGGCCATACTCAATGTGGCCATAGGACCCCATATCTTTTCTCAAACTACTTCCAACCATGCCTTTTCAGGCCTACTCCTTGCCCCTTTTATGCCTTCCACTTGAACAAACTCGCACTTCCTAACATGTGTTGTATTGGGTCTACGTTGCACATGGCCAGCCCACCTAAGTCTGCTTTCTCTCATCTTATCGTCTATTGGAGCCATACCTAAGTTCTCCCGAATGTATTAAGTATTAATGAAGGCCTAAATCATTATGATAGTGTCAGAGAAAATAGAGGTGTTGAATCTGGGTGACTGGACCAGGAGAAATTATGGGTTTATTCTAGCGAATTTGAAGTTTGGAAGAGAAGGGTGATATACCCATATGGTCCCCTTTGTACTTGCTGGGAGATGAGAGAGAATAGATGAAAAGATTATTGGCATTCGACTGGGTGGTACTTGTAATTTGCTAAACTCATAGTTCGATGTCAGAAAGTAAGATAGTTTGGAACCAGATGGTCTTTGTCACCAAGAAAAGAAGGTTTGTTCATTAAAGTCCATTAGCATGATGAATATGTTTGCTTGTGGGATCAGAGTCCAGATGGAATACCAGTATCGTTCTTAGGCTCTGTAATAGAAGTAGATCCTCTGTTCAGATTTGTCACTAGATGATTCTCCTGACCATGTAGAACTGGCTTCTTTGAAGTTCTGCTTAAACCGGTTTTGGGAACGTGGTAGTGTCTTCGTCAGGGTAGTCATCGACATGGAGAATCAGTCTCAGGTGCCTCCTGCAGCTGATTCTGATTGTTGACATACACGGATGATCATTGATGATCTTTTGCAGCTTTAGCTGCTGCCTAGGATTTACATTCTGAACTTTGGACTTTTTGGGGCAACATTTATGGACTTGATTAGTATTTAGAGGTATTCCTGCAGAGTATTATTTTAGAGAGGCCCTGTGGGCCAATATTTCGATAAACCCAGACTGGGGGCCTTATATGGATATTAAGCTCAATACATGTATGGGCAACATTAAGTGACTCAGTCTAAGGCTATGAGACTACCGTTGATCTTCCTTCGGGTTGCTTGCAGGCTATTTCAGCAAAAGACCAGTTTCTCTTGAACCATATGTTGAGCATGATCTTGTGCCCATAGAAACCACAAAGAATATGCTTCTGGTTAGTCAAACTGATACCTTAGGACCTTCCATAGCTTTTCAGATTTGCTTCTGAATGAAAACCTTTCCCAAGGAAGAATCTGTGGCATTCAGCATATCCTCAAATGCTCTGTTAATCAAAGTTTTAGGAAATCACCTGTTCATATTTTGACATCACAAGAAATAATATGTACTATTATGTAGCCTGAGCTAATGATTCAATAGAAGTACAGAGAGATAAAAAGGATTGTACAGTGGACCTTGTGAATATTCATCGTCTTAGTTAAATCAATGAGTCCCTAATATGTTAGAGGAATATAGCTATAGGGAATGGCCACAACTTCCCTGCCCTATAGCCCGTTCAGACTTCGAGCCTGTGTCGGACCATTATCAGGCGACCATTATGTAGTATTAGGGGGAATCCCAGCTGATTCCGGCTGATTCAATTTCCTCCCTATTATCTCGTTCCACAGCCAGGAAACAGAGTCCTGTGTAATCATCTGTTTTTTAGGATGTGAACAATCGTCCCTGCACAACTCCATCACGAACTCCATGGAGTTGCAACCTAGAGGATGAATCTCCCTGAAAACAGAATGATCCTCCATCCCCCTGTGATGCTAGGACCCTTCATACTGTGCCTTTTCTTTTCTTTTCTAGTGTGTGTGCGTGCACTTTCGTGTGTATGTGCATGTGCATAAAAGCTTTCAGAAGTGCAAGTGATTTTGTTACTTCATGAGTATGGTTTCTCTGAGCTAGGATTCTTAGACTGGGCGCTGCATGTACTATCCATGTAGAAGTCCATTCCTGTATAATGCTGTATCATGGAAAATCGTTCACCCTCAATAGTATTGTTTAGCTGGATGTAGCCTGCTGCACTTTCTATGGACATTATTTTTCATTTATAACTTGCTCTTTTACTCTATTTTCAACCATTTTCTAAGTTGGATGTGTAACCAGCTTTGCTTGATATATAAACAAAATCACTTGTAGGAAATATACTAATATAGTGTAATAGGAACTGTTTTTTTTGTGTATCCTGTTCAATATATCACTATATTAGGAACAATCAGTGAATGCATTACACACCTGTGTTTTGCTTCATGAATATCCAGAAGACAGTGGATACAAGAAGGAGAACCAATAATTGAATCTTTACATGTAACAATGAATGTACTGACTCGGTCTGCAAACTTCAGAAATTTATATGCTGACATTGTGAATAGTAATCTTCTGGGTTAAAAATTTTGATGCCAAACTGCACTTTACATGCCTTTTGTTGAGGGTTCTCTGTCGAAAACTCCGTACATTGTTTTCCTTTGAAGCAGGGCCAATATAATACTCAGAACACAATGAGAGTTATGCCAGCCTTCCTGGAGCACACTTGGTAGGACCTCTTTTGTGAAATTCTTTTTAGCTAAAGCTTAAGTAACTGTTCCCTACTTACCTTTTTGTTTTATGGTCACATTCAAATTAAAAAATGTAAGTTAGACCAATTGCATCTCGATGGCCGGTAAGGATGTATTTCAGATCTTTTTTCAATAAAAATATCAATTTCAAAGTTATGCTATACTCTACTGGAAATGATTCCTGAATCATTTATCAATGACTAAGATCCAAACACTGTCTTCTTAGCTCATATGTTTGATGTTCGTCTGAAATGTGACTTATATGGCTATTTTAACTTAAGTAGTTCAAATTGTTAGTGGAGGTTGATTGGTAGGTTCTAATTTATGCTATTTATGATTATAAGCATTATCGTTCTGAAATTTGTTTTCTTATGTGGGTATTTTGTAGTGTCTGCATAGTGAGCTTCTGGTGTACTGCCTTCTACTTTGTATTATGTTCATGTCTAGTGTCTGTCAAAATTGTTGGGCACTTGCTCTTGACATTGATCTTCTCTTGAATGAAACATCCTTGTATCATAGAGTCTTGATGGAAAATTATTAACTTCGGCAATATGCTATTTTATACTTCTGGAATAGTGTTGAATGAAAATGCAGCCTTGGTGATTGTACTTTTTTCATTTTTACAGGGTCATATGGGGAGGTTTATCATGCAGATTGGAATGGCACTGTAAGTCATATAGTTGATTAAACACATCGATTCAGTGTTGTTTGATTATCTACATAGGGTACTTTAAGTGATTAGTTGAAATCCAAACTTTGCCGATATCTATAACATTTTAATATGTGTGTAGAATAACTTAATATTTACCAATTTGTTGTATGACCTGTTTGACTTCATTTTAGGAAGTTGCATGAATGCACACCACCATTTATAGGTCACATAGATTATTTGAACCAATGTTCAAGAATGCGGAGGTGGCCGCCCAGATACCTAGGCGGCACTTTGTTTTGGGGGACCAAAAGGAGGCAGGAAGTTTCTTTATGTGACATATTTATATATGTATGAGAGAGAGAGAGAGAGTTTTGACATGGGAAAAGGACAACATAATCTTGGCAACACAAGGGGAGACAAAAATGAAGCATTGATTGATGAGTAGATTAGGTGGCAATGCAAGAGTGCTCCATGTGCAAAGTGACGGGGTGGTAAAAGTAAAAAAGTTAAAAATAGTGAAAGAGAAAATTGATGGTGACTATAAATTATAATCAACTAAAGGAGGAGATATTCCATGTATAGGTTTCTTGAAAGCAAAGCCTGAAATATTTTGGTGTGTTGGAATTAAACCATTGGTGGGTGGTCCCTCATGAAACCAAGGATTAATAAAAGTAGTAACACATGCTTGTCAAAAAAAAATAAAAAGCAGAAAAAAGTTCAAAACCATAAAGCCATAGAGAGAGTACTTAAAAAGGGTGGTACTGGGTGGGCGCCTAGGCGATTTGAGAAAATGGCTGCCTAGGAGGCTGGGCGGCCGAATTTTTGTACCCGGGGTCTCGTAAGAAGGAAGGTGGTTGCTCTTGCTCTGGATGCTTGATCCTGTGCTTCGGGATACGGGAAATCAATTTCAGATGTTTTTTGAATTTAGCGATCTCGATCTGCCAAATTGAGGATCTAGATCTGTCCCACCCATATGATGGATCCATGATTAGTGGAATCGAGCCTCCACCAAGGTGGAATCAAGTATTCACCAGCACATTTCGAGTGTCATGACTCCTCCCCCACTCATCCTCTAACTCCCTGACCCCATAACCTCTCTCTCTCTCTCTCTCCCTCTCTCTCTCTCTCTCTCTTCTCTTCGTTCGTTCGTTCGTTCGTTCGTTCGTTCGTTCGTTCGGTTCGTTACGTTACGTTACGTTACGTTAC